CCCTGGCAGAGGCTGACCACGGCCGGCAGATTGTTGCGCTGCAGCACCTCGGCCACAATGCGGGTGGTGGCCACGGAGACGAGCGGAGTGCTGGGCGCGCCCTTCCAGAGCACACCGTTGCCAGTGACCAGAGCGATAGCCGCATTCCAGCCGAAGACGGCATTGGGGAAGTTGTAGGCGGATATGACGCCGACCAGGCCAAGTGGACGCCACGCCTCCAAGATGGTGTGCTGGGCACGCTCCGAATTGATGAGCTGGCCGGAGTAGATGCGCGACAGGCCGACAGCATAGTCGCAGATGTCGATGAACTCCTGCACCTCGCCCTGGCCCTCGCTGTAGATCTTGCCCACCTCGAGGGAGACAAGTTTGCCCAGTGGCTCCTTGTATTTGCGCAGCTCGTCGCCAATCTGMCGCACGATCTCACCACGCACCGGGGCGGGCACCTGTCGCCACTGCCTGTAGGCCTCGACGGTCAGGCCGATGGTCTGATGTAGCTCCTGCACCGTGCCCTGACGCACTGAGGCAATTGGCTGACCGGTGCCAGGATCGTAGCTGGTGATGCTCTGTCCGCGGCCCTGCCAGTGGCCAGAATAGACGCCGGGATTGTCGCGCTCCAGTCCGAGATCCTTGAGGAAACCGTACTCGGGCTGGTCGATCAGATACGAGGCCATGCGCAGCTGCTGCTGCTGCAGCAGGCCACGCTGCACCGCTAGGCGGCCCGTCAAATGCCTCAGATTTGCGATCATGCTATGCTGTGCCAAGAAGAAGAAGAAGGAGAAGAAACGCACAAAGAAGAAACGCAGTGAGATTTATGGATTGCTGATACGCCTGATACGAGCACCGTATCGCAGCGATAAGCGTCAAATTGTCGCTGAAAATATTCCGACAGCTCGCCCCCAGCAATGAGCTCGGCCRCTGATTAGCACTGCATCCCGGGCACTTGAGTCCACTTACTTTTGTTGTCCACTTAGGTCCGCTGCTAGTCGATGTGCTCCCTGCACCGCTCAATTATCAACTGAACCGCTGAGCGATCGAGC